TTCTGACTTCTCTACTAAGAAATAAACCCAAGTTTTGCTGCTAAAAGCATCAATAAAAGTCATTAGGTACATTTTCTTTCTGTTTGAAGTAGGGTTAATTGGCCTACATATATTAGCATGGACCAATTGTAAGATTTGAAAAACCCTCCATGTGCTCTTCTTTGAAAAGGAATTTTTTCGTTGTTTTCCTTTTAAGCGGTCTTCACACACCTTCGAATGGGCTATAATTGGGAAAGTTCATTCACCAATTTTTCTGTTGTAGAATTTTTAAGCTAGTGAAGCTTAAATGTTCACATCTACAATGTCAAAATCGAGTTTGATCTTCTATAAGAGAACTCAATCAGGTCTCTTTTTCCTTTAGTTGTATTGTAGAAAGCAAGATAAACATTATGTTTGATGATATTGTATTCACCTAATTAAACCTCTCTCAGGATGATAAATCTGACACTTCTCATGTTGTATGAGATTGTAAATCCCTTTTCTTGTAACTGTCTAATGCTAAGCAGATTATTTTTCAATCCATGGACATAGAACACCTCAGTGATGATCTGCATAATTCAATTAACCAACATCTGTATATTGCCTTTTCCTATCATAGCCATACTTGAGTTAACTTCCAACTTCACACGAGTGCTAAAATTGTTATCTAGCTTGTTGAAAAATTCCTTCTGCTGCACATATGGTTGTTGCATCTTGAGTCAAGAAACTATAAATCATTTTTGCTAGCTTTTTTGATATCCTCATAGGCCATTAACAACATTTCTTCATTAACATCAGTATAGTGTGCATTCTCTGTATCCTTACTTGGACATTCATACTGAAAATGCCCAAGCTTGTGGCAATTATATCCCTCAATGGTAGGCTTATCAAAGCTTTGTCTACCCTTACTCCCTCCCTCGTCCTAGTCCTCGTCCTTGTCCTCTTCCTCCTGATTGATCTTCATAAGTAACCTTCAGAGCCTGTTCTTTCATAGCATGGCTATTCATATGATGTTCATGTACAAGAGACTACTTTGTAGCTCATCAATTAATAAGTTGTCTAGATCATTAGACTCCTCAATAAAGCATGCAACATAGTTAAATTTTGGAGTCATAGATCTTAGAATCTTTTCAATAACCACAACATCAATCATCTTCTCTCCATGATTCCTCATCTTGTTTGCCATAGTAAAAGTTCTAGCAAAATATTTATTCACAGATTCTCCTACTTTCATGTTGAGCACCTGAAATTCCTTTCGAAGAGCTTGCAGATGTGCACGTTGGACTCTTGCTGTCCATTGATACTCTGGCTTCAAGGAGTCCCAGATATTCTTTGCTATATCGTTGTTCAGAATTATTTCTAGAACTGATCCATCAATGGCTTGGAATAAATAATCCTTAGCCTTCAAATCTTTCATTTTGGTATCTTCAATTGCCTTCCTTTTTTATTTAGTGGGTTGTGCTTCTCCAACTTTAGGAATCCCATGTTCTATCAAACTCTAATATTCCTTAGAGCGAAGAAATTCTCCATGAGCATACGCCAGTGATCATAGCGTCCATCGAGCTTTGGAATTATTGGTTGGACAAAACTACTTTCAGTTTCCATTTCCTTGCTATTACACACTTAGAAGACTGTTGCTTCTCTGGTTTCGTTAGCCCTAATTAACACGGCTTTGATACTAAATGTCAAAAGAAGTTTATGCAGAAAACAAGATATTTGGGAGAATGATCTTATTTGATTGAATGAACAAACTAGCTTATAACAAACCTAAATATGTGGTTAATAACTAGGAAAAGATCAAAACAACACATCCCTTAACGATAGGGAAAGTAAAATAGAATAGGTAAACTGATTAATAAACAAAATGCTAATAACTTTGACAGTATGTGTCAAACCACCACCAAATATTCTTTTCTTTAAAAAATTCGTAAAATACAACCATAAGTCAATCTAAACCATAAATACAATTGTCAGTTAATAATTTATCATGTAACAAGATCTCTCAAATAAAAAACAGTATAATGTCCATCTAGATTTATTCACATAAAAACAAAATCCAGTTTGAATGGAATAAGATTTCAATGAATTATAAGGAACCATAAAGAACCACGAGGGCCAATAGTGACGAAACCAATGAAGAACCTACAACCGCAAAAGAAACCGGCAAGGTATATCTTGCACAGTGGTCCAAAGCCAGAGACATTCCGAATTCATCCTGGGCTATTGCAGCAAATAAAGTTACCATCACGGCTACGAACACGACCATGGAACTCAACATAGCCATATGTTCAAGAAAATTGTGTGTTTCTAATATTTGAGGGGGGTTTAAAGGGATATATGCATGTTTGTGTTGAAGCGTGTGGGCCCCAAAGAACATTGATAGCAAATGGTAAGGTTGTTAAATTAATTTGCTAATCATGTCTGGGCATCCTCCTCCCAAAATTAATTAAGATTATGATCGCTATACAGTCAACGGGCCTCACGATGGCAGCCATGTTTGACCATTGTGCCCCTAATACTCTTTTTATTATGAGAAAATTATAAGTTATAATGAAAACCAAACTTAGACAAAGTGATTCAAATACTTTACAACACTATCCATCTCCTAACCTTAATTATGAAGTATAAAAATATCTCAAGAAAGTCTAGTTTAAATTTCTTAAATAATCAAATTTTGATAATTATATTGAAACAATTCAACAAATATTAAGCCTTGTTTGTTAATTTAAGTCAAAGTCAACAATTAATTTCAACTATATATTTTATGAAATCCACAACTTTTCAATTATACATTTCATCATTTTTTTTTATAAAAATTTACTATAAATCTGATTTTAATTCCATCAAATAGGAGCTAAACAAAGGATAATTCCCAGCAACTTAGTAGAAAACGGTAAAATTGAAAATTTATGTTCTTACAAAGTAGAACAATACTACATGTACAACTCATGAGTTACAAATTGGGTTACAACCTCTCACAAGGGAGGTGGGCCCCGCCATTAAAATAATAGTGGGCCCCACCTCCCTTGTGAGAGATTGTAACCTAATGTTGTAACCCAACATTGTACAATGAGCATTATTCTACAAATTAACCTATTGAGATCCCAACGCCATGAAAAATAGGTTAAAACTCAAGTATATAAGTTCATTTTCCTCACACTTGGAAGATTCAAATCGTCTTCTCATATTTCAATTTCTTGATTTTAAATATCATACATAAAAACTAAAACAATATGATTTAAATAGAACGTGTCTCCAAGTCATATTTGTTGGGTTACAACACAAAACCAAAATCGGCCTCCCATAATTGGACATATATAATAAGTTAAATTAGACTATACTTAACATTATTAAATAAATAAATAATTTTAAACCATTTTCTTAGTCATATTCGGTACAAATTAGCATTAAACTTGTGTCAAGAATTGAGATCAATTTTCTCTATTTTGTTATATTCAGCTAAAATTTTAACGCTAAGAAGACATTGAAATGAGGAAAGCAGATTTCTCTCAACTAGTCTAGACGACTTGCTTAAAACATGGGGCTAAAAGCCCTCTCTGCCGTAAACAAATCTCGAAAGCATTTGGACATGAACTCCACCATTGAGAGCTCTACGTTGGGTGAAAGGTTGGAATTGATAGAGAAGCACTTGGTTTCCTATTTCCATACTTCGAATGGCATTCTATAAGGATTCCTGAGATATTGGAGATAAGGAAAGGCGAGGCTTTATAGTCATCTATCTTCATAGTCCACCATCCATATAGAGACGAATAATTTGTGTAATCCCATATTTTAATCGGGCATTCTTAAAAATCGAATATGCCACAAACACTTTTTGTCTAAATATAGCAAGAAAAAAATACGTGATAGACATTAACTTAAAATTATTCTTAGAAGTAGCCAAACCACCTATAAATACCCTTGTAGATCACCACCTTAATTCACAAGGCAGCCAAGAAAAGCACATACACAGAGGCAAGATCCTGTGATTGTTGATTGTTCTCATTTTCCTCGAGTCTTTCGCCGGATCTCACCTTCCTCAGCAACCACCATGGAGATGAAGAAGATTGCATGTGCCGCTGAGGAACGGCGACGGAGGTACTCGCCCGCCCTGGCCACCGCCCCTAGCGAGGCTCCGGCTCCCACTCCCACCAGCAATGCCATTGCTGCCTTGCCCACTTTTGGGTCCTTCATTGGGGCGTCCATCTTGTCCTTCTTTGTAGTTTACATGCACTAAATTAACTGGTGAGAGAAGTGATTAATTACTTGGAAGGACATAAATAAATAATTCTTTTGGTTGCTCAGATTCGATCTTTTCACTTTTCTGAGTGTATAATATGTCTCTCGTCTCTTCATTGTAACAATTGTTTCCCATGCAATGGAATAAAAAAATCGTAGCTTCAGTAAATTTATGATTTTATTTATTTACTTGTTAATTTGTTGGTTGTCACTTGTTACACGTATTATCGAGAAAGATGTTTATGAACCTTAAATTATTATATTAATTATAATATTATAATTAATTAATGAGGAAATTACACCAAATGTCATTTTTTGAATTTACATTTTCAAAAATGTCACTTTTATAAAACTTTTGCAAAATTGTCATTGTTGGACATTTTTGCCCCTTTAGAGAATTTAAATACTCAACACATTCTTGAGTTGACAACTCAAAAAAATTGTACAAAAAGTAGAAAAAATTGAAAACAAATCACTTCACAATCGTACTGGGCGTCTAGATTTTGAATTTTTTTTTTTTAATATGAAATTAAAAAAAATGAAATTCTAACCCTCATCATCATCCTCATTTAGTGGTTTCTCCACTCCTCTCCTCTCTAAGCTCTCTGTCGTCTGGCCATACCCACGGCGCAGCAGTCTCCCAAGGTATCAAAATTTATAATTATGTCGTACAACAATGAAATGTTGACTGAAATACAAAGTTGAAATGCTCACAGGAAGACGATACTCAGTTATCGAAGTCCACCGGAAGGCACAAAAGAGGGTGCAATTGTAAGAAATCAATGTGCCTCAAAAAGTACTGTGAGTGCTATCAGGTATATAGCTTTGCTTGTATGCATATTTATCTGTTGTAATGTTGTTCAACAATTAAATAATCAATTGTGGAATGATAATGGAGATGTGGTTGGGAATCTTAAACCATGCAGAGTGGCTGGGAATTTGAACAATGAAGCCGTTTTTCTTTGAATTTTTTACCGTTTGGGTTTAAAATTAGTGGCTTTTCAACATGGTTTTGGCACCATTTCGTGGTGTATTTTGGTGGCCTATATATATATATGATCTTGTTCATGGAAAGTTGATGAAAAACATAAGATCACTATTATTCCAAAGCAATTAAAGCTATTCTTCTTCTTCATATTCAAATATCCCTTTTGTGTTCTCTTGTTGGGTAGAATTATATTTGTGCTTAATTATAATTCTGCAACAAGGCTTGATAACTCCTACAAACTATTTGTCGGAATCCTTAAGCATCTCAATCAATCCGGAGAGGGGGCAAATTTAGTTTGAGGATAGCGATCACGCGTTTAGGCCTTCCAATCTTGTTACGGTATTTTGTTCGTGGTTCGTTGCAGATTTTGGTGTATTTATTCTCCTATTCCCGGTGCCATTTACAACATTATCTTCATTGTATTTTTTGGGAGGAGGGGTGAGGGAGGTTGGTTATCAGTCTCAGAACCTCTTGAGTCATGCTAAGTACTACCTAATTGCATTTGCTCTGATTAAACTTGTTTCTTTGCAGCTTATGGACATGCAAAAGTTGGTTGTTCTGATGGATGCCGATTCTTAGAATGTAAAAATGTCCATGGCCAAAAGGAAGGTATGATTTGCATCAAGGTTTTTTTGGTTCTATTATCAGATTGCATTGAGATTGTACATGTTAATACTCAGGAGACTTTAGGAATAGATATTAATGTGACTGAACAGGCTAATAAAAGTATAAATTGCTCACTGTGGAAATGACCTGGAGGTGCTAGGAGACTAGGAGAGCGTAATGACAAGTACGAAGATAGATATTTTCTATTACTACAACAACAAAGTGATAGGCAGCATTTAAGTTTTACGAATTATAAAGTATATAACTGTGAACCATTTATGGCTTTACTTCTATTTGAACTGGATTCTCCATCTTTCAGAATATGGCATGAATAAGGATGTGGGCATGCAAGGTATTAATGAAACAACAAAATGATCGTTTGTTAAAAAAAAAAAAACTTGAAATTGTGGGGTCTGGAAATGTTTTACATCATACTGAGCTATGCAATCCTCATAATTTGACGCCAGTGACACCGTCATTCCAATACTCGGAGTAAGATTAATTCTGATTAGATGCATTTCAATCCCAATGCTCTAATTTCTGATCAAATGGTTAACTTATTACTTGTAATTTGAAATCGCTTCATGAGCAGTAATCTTGTTTCCTTTTTCTCTTTCTAAATTGTATAACCAGGGAAAGGGTATATTAAAAGCCTGGTTCCCTTATGGAAAATACTTCCAGTCACCAGAATCTGGTCCCACCTTCGAGGCACCATGCATCAGGTTCCCGAGGTCTCCTAGAAATTTAGATAATCCTGATATGATCTCAGAAACTTCTAAAGAAATGGATCTAGTTTCTTTTGATCATGAACTAGAATACCACAAAGCATGAGCAGTAAATGATTTCTCATCCCGCTTTTGATTTTGTTTAATTGGGTTTTGATTGGTTGTCTTGCTATTGGGTTTTGTTTAATTATGGAAATGGTGAAAGCTCTGGCTTGAATTTTTTGTATGATTTGATTAACAATGTGTTTTCCGGGATATTGTTGATGTTGAAGATTAACGAGAAATAGTTGGCTCGGATTTTATGTACACTTTATTGTCTAGGTGTTTTTGTCTCAACTAGGCTTGCTTGGATGGGAAAAGCCTTGGGGATTTTTTTTTATCAAAATTCAAGATTTGGGTCATTTTTCTATTCTCTGCTTTTTGGTAATTTTTTCAATTAGGTTATAATCCTTGCTTTTTGTGCTGAATATTGATCAAATGTTATTTGTTGAAATGATGGTATATCGACTTTTTTGTTACATTAGCTTTAAAAACTGAATAATAACCAATAGAGTCATTTCTCAGGTGTGTTCCCTTCAAGTACAACAATGATGAGGAAGAAAATGGTGGTGACCCGTCAAAAAAGATTGTTGAAGTACTAATGATCAACTCAAATAGTGGACCTGGTCTTTTGTTTCCAAAGGTGAGATCTATAGATGCATCGAACTCTTGACTAGCAAAACCTATATTGGAGGACATAGAATATAAATAGTCTTTCTTCTGATAAGAAAGCTATCTTTTATATCTTGTTTAAGGAATTGTGTGCTTGTGTATTCTTATATGATCAGTAACTTCACAATATCCCTTCAAGTGCATGTTTTATCATGACTCTATTGTGACAATTGAAAGGGCTTTTTTTAGACAACCCAATTGGGGATAAACTATGATAACTTTTATGATTCTCCTTTGTGCAAAGAGTAAAAAAAAAATTGTGATTTTTCTAGGTAATGCAAAGGTGTGTATTGGTTCAGCTTCTAATTATATTTGATATAGTATTATACAAGTCTATTATGGTTCAAACTCATGAATTAGTTCAGCTTCTAACTATATTTGTATAGTATTATGCAAGTCTAAAATGGTTCAAACCCCTTACCTTGCATGGAATTTTGAAATGCTTTTGTGCATAAATCTGGTTTTAGAACTTACCTTTTCCGATCACTACAACATCGGTTCTTATATTTGATTACTCTTGAACAAGGTTTAAATGGTGGAGGAGCAAGTTAGGGCGGTTGCTAAACACAAACTTGGGGTTGCTAATCAGAGTACAACTGCAAGTTTTTTTGACAACAATACTAGGTAATTCGGTTACTGTTGAACTGGAAAACAATGAAAAGTATGAGCAGTTTTGATGTATGCTAAATAAAATCTGTAAATCATATCTCAGTGCGGAAGATCATAGAAAATATTTGACATGCATGTTATCATTTAAATGGTTCGATCCGTCTCATAACAAAAGACATGGATAAGTAGTGTTAAATTTTTATGGCGGTCAAACTGTACATAATCTTGCTTTCACTTGCTAGTCCATATGAGTAATTATGCATTCAGGTGAAAATTTTACATACATACTTCACATATATGTGGTTTTAATGCTTCTCTCTCCTTCAATATGGAGTAAGTATCCCTTCAATAATACCTACTTACATTGAGGTCAAAATTAGATTTACTGACAGTTTACTTCAGTAGAGAAATGTGGTCGTCGTGAACTGTAGTTCCCGACAGTTCACCGCAGTAATTCTCGACAGATGAACTGTCGGGACCCGAAAGTTTTTCTCAATTTCTCTTGACACTTGATAGCTCCACATGTGGAACGTTGGTTGATCCGAGCATAATATGTGCATTTCGCATTAACATGTACGACATATTGTGCACCACAATAATTTCATTTGTTTTCGTGCAATTGTAATATATTGTTTCGTGTGTTATGATTTTCGTACCAATGTTGATATTGGTTTTATTCCCTTATACGATGTTCGTATTATTTTGTTAAATTTTGTTTCGTAATTTGTTGTTGTACCTTGCCATCAACAGGTACCAAATATCACTATCTGACATTTTTTTTCATTTTCTTGATGTACCTTGCAGAAGAGATGGATTTCTAATGGAGGTACTCGAAAATGCACGGTTGCGGGTCTGCATTTCGCAGCGAAGCAACCAGAAGTACATGAAAAGGTCGTAGACCATTTCAATGAGTGTCAGCTCCAAGTTAGGTGACCACGTGTATGTAATATATGTTGCGATTTGAAGATGTAAATTTGATATGTTTCCCTCATGCGCATGCTTTCGACATACTAAAGGTTAAGTAGCTAAAAAATCTCAATCTAACAGATTATTCATCTCTCTCAGGGTCATAGAGTCGGGCTGAACGTGGCGTAGCCATTGCTTTACACCACATCGCAGAGGTTTTTTGTGCCGATATCTAAGTATAGTGTTCCTTTTGTGTCGATGTGGTGGTCTTTAACTACCGATAGCAATTATTCAGGATAAAAATTTAGTTTCAGTAAGTTCGCTTTGAGTTGGATTCATGAATTTGAATTCGTAATCCTGTAAAATGAAGACAATTTTTATGTTATATCTGGGTAAAACTTGGTGGTGATGCCAAATTATTGTCTTGATGAATGTTATTTTAACTCAGCAACGCAACAATTGTCCCATTTCATTTTCTTCCACTTAGCCTTAGTCTTTCAATTATATTTCACTTTTATTATTATATATATCAGTGATATTTGTACCGAACAATTTTTGAAAGTTTGCGAAACAATATGTATTAAAATTAATAATTCATTACAGTCGTGCCCTCTCCAATTGGATATTAACAATGATAAGCATTGTCGGTATACATTCATGTATAATCTTCCCGTTCGTTGCTTAAATTTCATGTCCTGTAAACTTGGGAGTTATGTAAGAGTAGGAGGACATTTTATAATAATAATGTCGAATGTAGATTTGGGGCCCATGCATCCTTCAACTATGACTTAAACATTTTTATTTGTATGGCAAAATATTGCACATGGTATCCATGTTGTCTAAAGTTGGGGTACTATGTTGTGGTTGGAATGCGAAGACATGGAGTGAACAAACATGTTCACGAATTCTCATCGAACACTTAAGTTCATGCATGGTTTTTGCGACTCATAGTTCCTTGCCTATTGGTGCATCAATTTGTTGAAGTATGTAAAAATTCCATAGGACAATATTGTCTTGATGAACGGATACAAAGGTCATAATGAGAATTGATTGCAAACAACTACATGCATGATTTTTGAAGAGAAAATAGTACGCACGCATTAAGATTTGCAATTGTCATAAATTATGTACAAAGTTTGAGTCATAATAATACAATTAAATCTTAAACAACCACAGCAATTGGATGTAAAAATAAGTTTAAGATGTGATTTGGTTGTTGTGTAGTAACTGACCATAGTTGCTTTCTTCAATGAAGCAATGAAGCTCATTATAAATAGCATGACATCATTAAATGAGTGAGTTATACTTGAAAACTTCATAAGATTTGTCACTCTGTATAATACTCAGATAGAAAAACAGTTTTACCAATATCCCTTATGCCTCGTATGTGTAGTTACAGTTTGTAGTATGTGCCAACTATTGAGAACGACAGAAATAATCTGTCGGGAAACACGGATGAATTGTCGGGTTGTCTTATGTGTAGTTACAATTTGTAGTCTGTGCCAACTGTTGAGAACGACAGAAACAATCTGTCTGGAAAGACAGATGAACTGTCGAGTTGTCTCGTAGTATTATGTCAATGAATCTGTATATTTGTTGGGAATGTAAACATGTCTACTACTGTCTGTAAACGATAATAGATTTCCAATGATAATGTAAGTTTGAAAAAATACTGCAAGTTCAGAACGATAATATGCGAACATAACGACCAATAACATCTGCAAACCAAAATTAATTGTAAACGATAACATAATTTCATATTGAACAACGCCGTTGGGGAACATTTAATATACTACTTCAATGACTTCCGGAAATCAATTCAATTTGAGTGCGGGATTTTGAACTTCAATTCAATTTGAGTGTGGAGATCAAGAATACAAAATTTGCCCTTTAAATCTAGCACGAAAGGCCAATCCCATTATGAACAGCCGACTAAAATGAAAGTGAGTTTGACCCCTCTCCACTTTCATTCGTCATCCATATGAACAAATTGTCCCTCATACAACACGATGAATTTCAAATGATTATTCATACCTAAAATGTTTCCCTTGCAACATTAAGAATTGTGCACAATAAACATGTCTGCATGTAATAATACGAATGTGGAACTTTCGAATATTGAAAACTATGGAGTAGCGAAAGGTGAAATCAATGATGTGTCAACAGTTTTCAAGTGTAGAACTCGACAGTTAAATTGTTTATCCCGACAGTTCATATATGTCGGATTCGACAATTCACATGTCTAAACCGACTGCTTCAACAAAACTATTTGACGGATGAACTGTAGAAACTGTCGGAAAACTTGAAAACATGTATTTGGTACATTTGAAGAAATTATTGAAAACATTAATGGTGATAATCAATTCTCAACTATCACGTGAAAACATCTTCCCATTAATAAATAACTCAATACTTCACTAAATATGGAATCCTTCAGTTTTGTACTGGATATTGGTATTTTTATCTTTCAAAAATATTTGAAAAACCAAACAAATCAATGAATAATATTTTCAAAAATTTCTCCCATTGCATTTCACCATATTGTATTTAACATCTACA